GGGGAAGTCACACGCGCCGTAATGAACTTTTGGCGAATTCTTCAAGAATTCTTCAGACATTCAGTTTTCTAATTCTGCGGGCATTCTTTCAAGTAAATTCTCTACGAACTTACGTTCACCTTTGTGCTATCTGGGTCTAGATCCAACCCAGACAGCGCAGTGAATTCGCAAAGCGTTGTTCAAGTGTTTTGCCTTTCTGATTTGTGATTCTTGAGGAATTCGTGGAAGAATACAAAAGGAATGATCGGGGAAGTCACACGCGCCGTAATGAACTTTTGACGAATATTTCAAGACGAATCGATTCTTCAAGAATCCTTCGGATATTCAGTTTTTTCTAATTCCGCAAGTATTCTTTAAATAAATTCTCGACGAACTTACGTCCACCTTCGTGCTATCTGGGAAATCTCGCGAAATGTTTCAAGAGAATTTTGTCAAGAGCCTAATGATATGCGCATCTTTATTTGTTTGCTCTCGATGCTCCGCGGCATTTGATACCAGTATCTTGTTTCGTAACAACGGGATATAATAATCCACGCGAGTATCTATTTTATTTATCTCCGCCCTCGTATCTGGAGCGATCGTAATCGAATCAAGAGTTACGTCGCAGATATGACATGATAAGTAACAAATGCAACGTGTATTTTACACCCGAGCAAACAGCGAACGTCTTAATCGCCGTAAATTGAACCGTCTGAAGCTAAACGTCGGATATAAACGACCGCGGTAAATCCTCCTCGCGAGAACACGCGGCGCACACGTCCCGTCTCCCCTCGCGTTTCTTCACGAAGAGAGACACGAAAGAGCGCAGCTTCTCGCCTTCTAATTTCCCCCTCCTCCCTTCGCCCCGCGGAATGGAGAGTTTGATTTCTTTGCACGCTCGCGTCTCTCTCTCCGCCAGGCTAATTCTGCTCTCTATCTCAAGGAGGGGGAAAAAATCATGAGAGAGAGAAAAAAAACTCTATCGAGACCACAATGACACCGGAATTAGCGTCGCGTCCTAATCGGTGGACGGGCATTAGAGATGCGTCGGAAAGAACGGCGGGTCGAGGCCGATAAAGTACTCCAATCGGCTCCTCGCATTCTAAATCATCGTAACCCTGGCACGATCCACATCCACGCTCCATTCGTCTCGCGGAATTGTCGGCCGGCCGCAGCAGCGCCCGCGTTCGCAATTTGCATCTCCCTTCCCGCCCCTCGATACCGTTTACAGCGTTTCCGAAGGAGAGATCGAGACGACAAAATTTCAGACGTCGAAAGACTCGGGGAGGCCCCTCCCCCCCCTCTCGAAAATCATCTACAGGATCGCGAAAGGACGTTCGAACGCCACTTGGAAGAGCCGGCGCGCGCGCGCGTCTTCTAATCGCGGACAATAGAAATCTGTATCCGCGGCGAATTAAACGGCGCACGCGAGCGTGCGCGGATAAAGCCCGTGTCATGCTACGTATTGCGGATCGAAATTCAGCCAATCACAGCGAGGCAACTTGGGATCCGGATTGCAGATCGCAGAATAGACGGCTGTCTACGATCCGTAATCCGCGATCCGAGCCGATAAAATGTTGAGCTTCAATCACGCGATCCATTTTTATGGGCGGGCGAATATTAACCGGTTGTCTGCTGTAGCCAAGCTAACTTAGCTCCTGCAATGGGTTCAGAGCGCGATCTTTTCTCTACACGCGATTCGTTCTCAACCATTATTAAAAATAAAAAGCACAAACATACCCAAGGAAAGGTAAAAAGTCAAGATGACGTTAAAATGTCATATTGACCCAAAATACGACATAAATTTGGTCAATACGACATCAAATTGACATCACCTTGACTTTTCATTTTCCTTGGGTAGTTTCCTCTTTTCCATGTATTGATTATAATTTTGTAACTTAAACACACTGACGAGTAAGCGCGAATAGGCCACGCGTACAGACGAATAAGTGCACGCGTCGCAAACGGATTCGTACGAAGATTCTGTGAACGAAGAATCCGAATCTAGCGATCCGTAATCCCAATCCGCGTCCGCAATACGTAGTGTGACACGGACTTAACGCGGGGCCTCTCGCGACCGTCCTCGCGCGCAATCAACGCTCTCGCGTAATACGAGGAACAAAGGAGAAAAAAAAAGATAACGTACCTTTTGTCTGCCACGTGTCGCGCGAGAGTGTAATTTTATTGCAGCGCGCTCCGATATATATATATGAGTTACGCGTGGATGTGCCTATTCTATAAATATATACAATCCTCGAGAGCTCCGATTGTACGTAACAATCGCTTCTCCCCGGTGCGCTTATCGTCCACCGCCCATTCTCGATAGGCCCGTATCTTCGATAAAGTTTACGATCGGATTACCCGGTGCTTCACTAGTGGCGCGCGAGCGCGACTTCTGCGGTAAACAGGACGCCGGTAAACAACGAATTATCGCCGCTTCGATCCGAAGATACATGCCAATGGGAGAGCGGTATGTTGCGCGTCCCGGCCCGAAGGTTTTCGGGCGAGCGCAGCATATTGCGGCGTCTTTCGGCGGATATCAATAGAACAGATCCCACGCGCCGCGTCGAAGCTACGCGGCTTCAACTTGGCACAGTTTCAGGCGCGCTTGCACGCAATTTGCATCGCGTCGCGTTTTATTTTCGACGTCTCCAGCGCGAGGCGCGACGTCACTTTCGCATCCTTAAATGGCGATCGCTGTAAAAAAAAAGAGGGGGGAAGAAGTCACTGGATATGGGATTGTTGTCCGATAGGGAAGTGAATGGGCGAAAAATTTGACTCCCCCCCTCCCTCCGGAACGGAAAAGAAACGTCGCGTTATTTCGGATGGATAGAACTAACTTTATTTGGAATTATTTAGATATAGCGATTACTTTGTTGTTCTGAAGCGCGCAACCGACTACTTAAATAACACCTTTATTGCTTTGAAACGCCTGTCATTGACACTTGACATTTTTCGAGACTGGAATCTCGAAGCGCGGGAAGATAAGAAAGTTGATTAAATAACGACAGTATCGCTCTTAAACATAAAAATTAAATTTATCAAGTACGCTCATTGGCGCAATTGACAGAGATGTATCTTCCGATTAGCTATATAAAAAGATTAGAGCCCACTACGATACATTGGCTATCGGTAACGAGTAAAATAAATAGCAGCCGTTTATCGTTTAATTACAAAAGTAAAATTAAAAAAATATATATATACGTAATTGTGTATACATACAAAAGAGTACGAGATGCTTTAGTTCTAATGACTGGAAGAGAGGAGATTTGCAAGCAGCTGTGCCGAGAAATTTTCGTTTACTTTCCAAGGAGAATTTTGCGGCCGGCGCCCATGTTTTGGCCCGCCTGGGTCGCACCCTTGTTGGAGCCTGCCTGGAGACCGATCATCGTCTGGCCAGCTTTCAATTGTTCCTCCGTAAAGTCGCGCTTGCACTCGTCTGACGGCTTAGGGCCTAGATAAGGTCCTTTCCACTCAGGGTGCTTGTATGTCTAAACGAACAGAGGTGTCGGAATAGCTTGTGTTGCAAAGAGAATCGCGGTGAAATTTTTATGAAAAAACTTGGTAGAAAATTGCTTGACGACCCATGGCTGGCAAATACTAATTAAAGACATTCATTGCGAAAAATATTACCTCAGCCAGGGTTTGAACCTGGACCTCCCTACACTCTAGGCGGGCGTCTCAACAATTCGAGGCACGTGGTAACATTTATCGCGACAAACAGTATTACTGATGACATCTTCGCGTTTATAAAAAAATTAGTGATGACTGTAATAAGAAAACATACCGTTCGGCCGAGTGCGAACAATGTCGTTACTACTTGGGCTATATCTTTCTTCTCCCACAAGTCTACGGTCTGGAAGACGTCGACGTCGTCCACCCCGTAGTCCTTTAGCGCCTTTTGGAACCTGCAATGTGTCCAGCGTGGTTAGAGAATTTACAGTAATTTACAAATGTACGAATGTCCCGCCGGCCACCACTCACACGTTGATGTTCTCCATCATCTTGAACTGGCCGCCAGAAGTGTTGATCTTTTGTATGCATCCAGGAGAGAGTTTGTTCATCACGTGGCACAGGACCTGGCCGTCCTTCAGCACATCTTCGAAGGTTTCGCCAGGAGGAAACTTCTTGCCAAGGATCGATTCGATCCATTCCTGCGCCTCCTTCTCTTGCTCGGGGCTGCGTTTCGACGCAAGCTGTGCAAAATTACGCGCAAATCTTATTGTTAGAGGACTACCGTGCTGTCGTTTCGAGCAAAAAGGAGTCTCGAAAGGGCTAATCCCGCGATATTTCAAGTATCCCGGAAAATCTCAAAGAGTGCACTTCTTTCGAAAAACATGTCTTCTTATTACGCATTATCAAACGACTAATTTCTTTGTTCGAAAATTAAGAGAGCGAACAACTCGGAAAATAGATCACTGCATGACGTGACCGTAAACGGATCCAACGGATTACACCACACGATTGAAATATATGTATTTATATATACCTTAGCGCGCACTTGACGTTCTAGAGCCATCCTGATATTTTTGAAAAGACTGAAGTGCCGCGGCTTCTAGACGCGGCTTTTTATACGTTCCGGAGGAGTACGGAACCACCGTGGGCCAAGTCGGGGGAGAAATCCGTCCAACAACGTAAGAGGGTTGTATACGGGGTGTCCCGTGAGAAATGCTCCGACGGAAAGGAATTTCTGTCCAGGCGGAAGTCGAGTCGAGGATCCCTCGTCAATATTCGCGCGGTTTGCGATTGTATCTTGGTGCCTTCTTGTCCACTTCCTCGTTGGCACGATGATAAATAAACGACATGCTAAGATCGGAGATACCGTTTTCCCCGCATCTTCCACACGGTCGACGCGACACCCCGTATAAGCGGGCGTGCATGATTCCACACGTTTCGGGATTCTAATATTAGCGGCTTATTCAGTTAAACGAGAAATAGGTTTTCCGAAATCGCAGAGAGACGCAGCTGTTGTGAAAATTGGGCAGCTTAGTAATGATTATAGCATCCGGTAAATAAGCCGAAACAAGATTCGCGTATGCGTGTCCACTATTGCGTTGGCTACATTATTAAAGTGACTATAAAAGATCTCAGATGCCGTAATATCTATTTAAAAAGTACAACATTTTCAATGTCTTCACAATCAATCGTCTGATCGAACAGTTCATAGTCTGAGATTTCTTTTATTTCCTATAGGAAATGAAATTGAAGTATACTTCAATTTGATGTAACGTATCGCTGAAGGTGTAACATTTTTATGTTATCTCTCTACGCAAAAATATCGCAAAATGCCCCAGGAACGTTTTTAATGTCGTTTCTTTACATTTTGGAGACCCCAACTTCGTTTTAACACGTTTTTAAAACGCAAAAATGACAAAAAAATAACTTCAAAATGTCACACCTCTACGTATCGCATATACTCTAATATCCCAATTTGAACTGAGAAATTAATGGGAAAAATGTATACGAGGAACAAATAAAAAGAGAAATAGATTCTTCGTATTGTAGACTAGGAATCACTGATGTCTTCTCATACGAATTAGGCACATGTAGAGCACATATACATTTTCCATGTATGTGTGTGGAAAATGTTTAAGTGTGTTGGTATGTGCAGAAATTCATGTGGGAAGGCATCAGCGATTCCTAGTGTACATGTCACTATAGACATGAATCTGAATCTGTTTTAAATGGATCCTTATTGAGAGACTGAAATGTCAGATTGTCCGATCTGTTCGAACAAAACGACTCGCGTTGTTCTCAGTCCGATTACTTGCATATTCCAACGCGTAGCTCATCAGTAGGGCGTAGGCAACGTGTCGAGGTCCTGACACAGAAGAAGTGGAGGAAAAAAAAACGGTCGCCCTCGTGGAAAGTGGGACGTGCTACTTTTAAATAGTTCTCTGTCATATGGCTCGGGTTATTATTGCGCGATCCAGATTTCGCGGCAGATACTCGCCTCTCGTGCGAACGTGAGATACTCGGAGGAAATACGGAAAATTATAGACATCCCAAGGACGAGGCTCTAAAAGTTCACTGGTGTACAATGGACTGACGCGAGAGCTTGAGAGAGTTTAAAAAATATCAAGGTCCGCGCGTTTCCAAGACGATCTTATTATCAAATCAACTGGGGGAAAAAAATTTAAATCGGCTGCACGTACAGCTTGAAAGTGATACGTTTATAGAAGTTCCGTACTGCGTCGTAACATCCGGAACGGAAAGTAACGCATGCCGCATATCTTCCAGTTCCAGAACGACGGTGAGATTCATGCGACTCCATTATATTGCGTAATTTGGGCCTCGCGTGTCGATTCAAAGGGGATCATTTATTGGCCAGATGGCGGACCGATGAATCACGCTTAAATTTAAGTTTTCTGCGCGCTTCCACGCTAGAGCTACAATCTCGTCTGCTCCGTGTCGAAGGTGCGTGGGCGTTTTTTCTGAGAGCGCGACGATGAGAAGCTTCGTATTCACGACGTTACTTTAAACGCGACTACCTACTTGTCCCATATTAATCATAGGTCTACACCGAATACACACAACTTCTGATTCTGTGAACTCGTATTTATAATTTCTTAATGAAAATCTTATATGTATTTTGTAAATACATTTTCAGTTAATTTCGAAGGAGACAAGAAAATACAATATAATAAGAGATAAACAAAAAGAATAAGATACTCTTACAGATGTGTCCCATCCGAAAACGATGATCTTCTCGTAAATCTTCTTCAAGTTCTTCGTCGTTTGCTGTAAGTTTGCAGTTGAATGGGACGCTTGAAAAACTTCCTGCCCACTGACGTAATTTCCGCCTCTTGCTGTGCAAAGCAGAAAACGTTTTTCAAAATCAATGAAACGCTTCTACTTGTTATCTTAGATTAATATCTCTAGTTTCAAGTGAGTGGACGGATGAATAAAATTATATATTAAAAACACGTTCATTCGTACTCTCACTTTCACTCATTTTAATAGTTCTTAACTCTCCTGTGTGCAAAAAACGCCACACTATTTATTCTTCGTCATTCGCGTTTTACTTTCAGAACTTCCTTTTGATTTCTGTGTCATATTGTACTTATATTTAATAGTATATAAAAATCTATACCTCGTTCTGAGACTTCTGCGAAGGCGTACGTTTGAGTGTTTGCGACAATGGCAATTCATCAATATCGTTTAAAATCGGGGATGGGGAAACCTAAGAGGCATAATTCGAGGAATGAAGATAATTCGTAATTAAATGCAGATGTAGAGATTTTGTATCGCTAATTTTATGTTCCACGGAACGGCCGGTAATCGATAATTACTACAATCGTTGGCTTACATAATGTTGAGTCTTGGCGAATTCACTCGTAAGTTTTCGATCGTCGAATGATTTTATCTTCAAC